CTGCACTTGATGATCACTTAGAGGGGCTAAGGAAACTCCATTTGGTGCCAGGAGAGAGAGAAAACTACAGAGGTGTTGGGCATTTGTCTTGCAGGAAGTTGAGGCAGGTTCAATCACTGGCTTCCCATATGTTCACTGAACACCACCCGGAGGATTCCTGAGTACAAATCAAGAGTAACCCCTGAGCATCGCTGGGTGTGGTCCTGACAAAGTTACATACAGTGCTTGGATCAAATGCATGTCACTATATTTTGCAGGCCTTCCTATTTCACTCTTAAATGGAAACCTGGGTCCTACGTATCTGATAACCAGCAATCTGCAGTATATCAAAAGTGGAGATTCTGTTTCATGCCTTTTGAGGAATTTGCCAGATTTTGTAGGGAAACACGCCATTAACCTGTTGCCTTTTTCTTGTCACTAATCCATGCCTCTTTCACTGTAGGGGCAGGACATTCCCCGGTGAAGCCTGTGGAGATCTCCTGGCTGGAAGGAGCTCTGAGGTCAGGGAGGAGAGGCATGTGTGTAGGTAAGTGTCTCCGGACTCTCAATGGCTCAGGGGTTGGGCATTGTTGGGGAGTCCTGAGTGGGTGTGAAACATGCAGCTGTTTCCGGGAATTCGGGCTCTTGGTACCAAGTATCTGTGCAACGCTCACTCTGCCATTCACTCCCTTGGACTTTCAGTCACAGAATGACCATGTGCTTTGCTTTCTGGCTTTGTTGTTCTTCTTCATCTATTAGGTGTGTAGAATGGCCCAGGGGATTTACGGCCCTTTTGACCCCTGGTCTGTGCCTTACCAGCCTCGGGTGCCCTTTCCAGGAGCACCGGGTGACCCTCTGTCCTCTCAGTCTGGCTAAATTTGCCCTCGGATCATCAGTGGTTGTCAAACATAATAAAAAAATCTTGTGTTTTTTTTTTCTTTCTGGGTCACACTCGGCGATGCACAGGGGTTACTCCTGGCTCTGCACTCAGGAGTTACTCCTGGCAGTGCTCAGGGGACCATATGGGATGCTGGGAATCGAACCCGGGTTGGCCGCGTGCAAGGCGAATGCCCTACCCGCCGTGCTATCTCTCCAGCCCCTTGTTTTGTTTTTTGAACTCAGCAATACTCAGGGCTTTTCCTGGCGGTTCTCGGGTTACTTGTGTCAGTGCTTAGGGATCAGCATCACAGAAGGCAAATGAAATAACTACTGTTCTTTCTCCAACCCACTAAGAAAAAGTTTTTTTCTTTTCTGTTCAAATTGTGACTTGTGGGGCCGAAGCAATAGTACAGCGGGTAGGGCATTTGCCTTGCACTCAGCCGCCCGGGTTCAATCCCTGGCATCCCATCTGTTCCCCTACGCACTGCCAGGAGTAATTCATGGGTGCAGGGCCAGGAGCCTGAGCATCGCTGTGTGTGATCCAAAAAGCAAAAGAAAAAATTAAATTGTGAATCGTTGAGCCCATAAGAAAGCTAGATTGGGCTGGCACTGTAGGAGAGTGAGGAGGGCTCTTGCCTCGTGCTCAGCTCACCTGGTTTCAATAACGAGCATCCCATATGATTCCCCTCATGTTCCTTGGTCCAGTCTGAAAACAAAGCCCCAAAGGTTAGTGTGTGATTGCCAAGCTCCTCAGAGCAATCCTCTAAATGGATCTCTTTTTTTTTTTTTTTTTTTTGCATTTTGGGTCACACCCGGCGATGCTCAGGGGTCACTCCTGGTTCATGCACTCAGGAATCACTCCTGGCGGTGCTCGGGGGACCATATGGGATGCTGGGAATCGAACCTGTGTTGGCCATGTTGGCTGCGTGCAAGGCAAACGCCCTACCCACTGTGCTATCTCTCCAGCCCCTAAATGGATCTCTTTGCTCTGGACCTGTTTGGGATGTGAGAACCATAGAGATGTCCTCCACTTGCTCTGCCTATCCAGGAATACGTTGCATTCGACTAATTCTTAGCTTGTGGATTGTGTTTGATTTCAGAACTCCAGCCGCAGCTTCCGGAGGTAGCACTGCCACAGTTTGATTTGGGAAAGGGCACATCGACTAAGCGTGAACTGGTAAGATTCGCACATGCAAAATAAGTGTTTTTATGCCATCTGGAGAGCTCATGGACCAAGAATAGGATTAGAAAGGTGGGGGTTCAGGCCCCATCCTGCCACCACCTTTTCAGTTTCTGGATATGACTGGGAAGAAGTTGGAGCTTAATTCTGGCAGCAAAGGGCCCGTAGCCTCAATGGGGATAAATTCAGTTAAGTTCAAAAACTAAAGAAATTTCTATTCTTTTTCTTTTTCTTTTCTTTTTTTATCTGAGAACAAAAATATTTTATTTTTCAAAGAAACGTAAATGAAATAAATGTAGAAAATGCGAAAGATCACAACTAAGATGTTAATTTTCCAGAACCTAATTACATTCTAATTACATTGTTTTACTGTATTGCTATGACAACCATGTCCTGATTGGTGTTTTTGTTTTTTTCATTTGTTTGATCTTCCATTCTACACATTTATTCAAGGTGATTCCTTTCCAACATAGGTCTGTGCTATTAAATCCTCTCTAACCCTTAGTCCTACTGTGTTCTCATGTATTAAGAAATTTCTATTTTTCACACTGATGAAATACTGTGGTTTGTTACTTGATAGAAAGTAAGCACAAACATTAGATTATTTCAAGGAACTGATTTGTAGTGTGGGACCCGGGGCTGAGATCTCCAAGCCTGCACGGTTTGGGACTGGACCTGCCAGTAGCTAGACAGTTACACCCACCAACTGCCGTGTAACCCCAATGACGGCCAGGATCCAGAGATTATCACACTCAGCTCCCGGAAGCGTGCAACATCTTATCATCTCATTCCTACTTTGGACAAACTGGCAGGCTACCGAATGTAACCTGCCCACACGGCAGAGTCTGGCAAACTCCCCGTGGTATACCCAATATGCCAAATACCAGTAACAATGATGGGTCTCATTCTCCTGACCCTGAAAGGGCCTTGAATATGGCACTGTTAAAAAAAAAATCTCAGGGCTAGGACAAAGGAGACGTTACTGGGGCCTGCTCGAGGCAATCGATGAACAACAGGATGGTCGTGGTCGTCGTGATTTGTAGATCCTCCTAATCATGCATTGGAAAGGACGCTTGCTTTGCCCGAGCATAGGAATCTGGGTTTCCAGCGCATATGGTCCCCAGAGCTCCAGCAGCATTGGCCCCTCAGATCTCCTTGGTGTGTCCCACCCCATAATAAATACAAACAAGAAAACAAAAAGAACAAAAATGTCATTGATGCAAAAAAGGAATCCTCTTGTGGCCCCTGTAGTACATCTCGGCTGTGTGGGATGCAGTGTTGCCTTTCCACATGCATCCAGGAGTCTACTCTCATCTAGAACTGAACCCAGACTTCAGTCTCTTCTTTTCTCTGGAAACTGGTGCTTCAGTTTTCTGCAGAGGGAGTCGCTTTCATTTAATATGTCTTCATTGAGATGAAAAAAATTTACCGAACTCAGGGCTGGCTGGAGTAATAGCACAGCAGGTAGGGCGTTTGCCTTGCACGCGGCCGACCCAGGTTCGATTCCCAGTATCCCATATGGTCCCCTGAGCACCGCCAGGGGTAATTCCTGAGTGCAGAACCAGGAATGACCCCTGTGCTTCGCCAGGTGTGACCCAAAAAGCAAAAAAAAAAAAAAAAATTTATCGAACTTAATGACCCCACATCAGTCAGTTTTGCAAATCGGCCCTGTAGAAACATTTTGTCTTTCCATGGAAAATCCCTGCATGTGTTGGATTCATGTGGTGGGAATGTCAGAAAGCACAGCTGCCTGTGTTGGAGTATAGTTCTAAGCTTCTGAGGTTTCATATTGGTTTATCCTTTCTTCCCCACAGGGAACTTAGGTTAGTTGAGTCACACACACACACACACACACACACACACACACACACACACACACACACACACACACACACAGTGCTTCCCCAGCACTCCCAATTCCATCATGCTTTTGTCACATGGGAATTAATTGACTTCGAAAAATGTTTCCTCTTGGACATCTATCATATGTACTTGACTTAAGCCTCAGTTACCCTTAGTTCCTAACACCCCAAAAGGCGGGTCACAGCAAAGGGCTTAGACAGATCGAGGCAAGCTGAAAGCTGTCCTAGTTTCGAGAAAAGAACAGCCTAAGCACCCAAAGAAATGTGATAAATTAAGAGCACAGTCATGGAACAAACTCTGACCCAAAAAAAAAGGAACTCAATAAGGAGACCCTGTTGGAGTGAGGTAAAACTAACCTGGCTTGAAAAGTGTAGTCTGCGAAATATAACAAGATATTCTCAGGAAAATCCACCCTGTCAGCTTGACCTAGGGTATGGATAAAAGCCTGTATCTCTTACTGTGTTCATATAAAATGATTAAAAATGTCATAAAGAAGTAGATTTCATATGACTGTTTAAGTGGATTACCAGCAAAGAAAAGGAGAAAGCACTACACTGTTAGATGAAGCCCACCCTTGGGCAGATCTCTTAGGAGGAATCGAGTGGATTCTACAGTGCTGGCGCCCCCAGATGATATTCTGTCTTTGGATGCATGTCCTAGAGGAAATTCCCCTGAAGTTTCTTTACATCTGTGCATTGTTTATGTTAATATTCCACCACCCCTATGTGTAATTGCTGTCTCCTAAGCCTTCATGATTTCTCTATAATTAATTCTCTGATAGGAATAAACAGCCTCTGATTCCCAATCAACCATGGCTCCATTTTTTCATCTAATGGGAGTGACGGGCACTCACCGGTTCCGAATGGACCAGGGGCCACAGGACACCACAGGACAGTGAATCAGAACATGAGACTGCCCGGCACAATTGTTTTAGACACGGAGACTCGATGCAGTAGAACAATAATTGGAATCCTTCTCTCCTGTTCTGCAGGGAAGCAGCCAGCCCCAGTGGAATGTCTCTGAACCGGCACACACTGAGAAAGTCTGGAATGAGCAATCCTGCCTTCATCCCCGTGGAGATGATGAGACAGGAGGGATGTCCTCTGAGGGTGATGGGAAGGAAGAGAGTGACCATGTTCCAAAGAAGCCCGCCCCTGCAAGAAGCTCCTCGCAGTCTATTCTGCACAGACCTCAAGCCCAAACCCCCGCAGTGGTGCAGCCCATGGACTGTGGGAGAGGAGCACTGTTTATAGTGAGTCCTTCAGACCGACAGGCCCACAAGCAAATTCACTATGGACTGAACCCATCCAAGTGTCAGAATTGTGGGGGAGCCTTCCCGTGTTCTCGGCACCCTGATATTTCTTTAGAAACCCACCGTGGACAGAAATTCCTGGAATGTCAGCAGCAAGGACAAAAGTTGAGTCAAGGGTTACCCCATTGGAACCATATTCATGTAACTGCAGGAGACAAACCACATGCATGTGAAGAATGTGGGAAGACCTTCTACCGATCCTCATACCTTATTATACATAGGAGAATTCACACTGGAGAGAAACCTTATGTTTGTAAGGAATGTGGGAAGGCCTTCTCTCAATCAAGGTACCTTACTTTGCATAGGAAATGTCATAGTGGACAGAAACCTTATCAGTGTCAGACATGTTGGAAGGCCTTCACTCTGCGTTCATGCCTTACCATGCATATGAAAATTCATACTGGAGAGAAGCCTTGTATCTGTAAGGAATGTGGGAAGGCCTTTGTTTACTCCTCAGACCTTACCCGTCATTTAAGAATTCACACTGGAGAGAAACCTTACGTTTGTAAGGAATGTGGGAAGGCCTTTTCTCAACCCGGGCAACTTAGCAAGCACAGGAAAATTCATAGTAAAGAGAAGCCTCATAAATGTCAGAAATGTGGGAAGGCCTTCATCGTACCCTCACTCCTTACTAGACATATTAAAAGTCATAGTGGAGAGAGGCCTTATCAGTGTCATACATGTGGAAAGGCCTTTACTCTACCCTCAAGCCTTACAACACATATGAAAATTCACAGTGGAGAGAAACCTCATCGTTGTCAGACATGTGGGAAGGCCTTCTCTGTTCGCGCTTCCCTTACTGCACATATGAAAATTCACGGTGGAGAGAAACCTCATCAGTGTCAGACATGTGGGAAGGCCTTCATTCTGCGCTCTTACCTTACTATGCATATGAGAGTTCATACGGGAGAGAAACCATATATATGTCAGGAGTGTGGGAAGGCCTTTACTACATCCTCAAAACTTGCTAAACATAGGAGAATTCACACTGGAAAAAAACCATATATATGTAAGGAATGTGGGAAGTCCTTTATTTATTCCTCAGATCTTACTATTCATATAAGAATTCACACTGGAGAGAAACCTTATGTTTGTAAGGAATGTGGGAAGGCTTTTTCTCGATCTGGGCCTCTTGGTAAGCACAGGAAAATTCACAGTAAAGAGAAACCTCATAAGTGTCAGAAATGTGGGAAGGCCTTCAATCTGCATTCAGACCTTATTATGCATATGAAAATTCATGCTGAAGAAAAGCCTTTTTATATATGTAAGGAATGTGGGAAGGCCTTCACTGAGCTCTCAGGCCTTACAGGGCACATGAAAACGCACACGGTAGAGGACCCTTATATATGTAAGGAATGTGGGAAGGTTTCATGTTCCCATTAAGCCTTAGTAAACAGAAAAATTTATACTGGATGATTTGATCTCTAATAACAATCCCTAAGTTTAAAACAGGCCCCCTGAGTTCAGCGATTTTTCTTTGGAGAATGGGATCAGGGGTACTACAAAAGTGGAGCCAAGAAGGACATAATACTGGGGCTGGAGTGATAGCACAGCGGGTAGGGTGTTTGCCTTGCACGCGGCCGACCCAGGTTCGATTCCCAGCATCCCATATGGTCCCCTGAGCACCACCAGGAGTAACTCCTGAGTGCAGAGCCAGGAGTAACCCCTGTGCATTGCCAGGTGTGACCCAAAAAGCAAAAAAAAAAAAAAAAGGACATAATACTGCCTCTGTGGACAATCTTCCTATGACAGCAGGATATGTCAGTTCTATAAGGGAAAGTAACATGCTAATTATCTACCGGGGGGCAGCTACACCATTTGCCTTGTGCTTGGACTTCCGTGTATGTTTACTTGTAAATAATAGGTCTTGGCATTGGAAGTAGGTGATTAAATAAACAGATACAAAAATGCCCCTTGCTCGGAGTTGTTAAGGCTCACCACTGTCATTGTCATTTACTTTCTCGCTGGTTTGGCCCAAATGCACTGGTTTGTGGGAATTATGGCAGAGATCGACCACGATGCTGAAGTGAATTCTTTGAAAGTGGAAAAAAAAGGACACACCTTCATTTTTCAGGCTTCCTGTATTTGGCTTTGGGGAGGGGAGCCACATCCCACAGGCTCAGGCCTTAACTGTTGGCCCTGGGTTCAGGAATCCAACCTGAGTGGTCACAGGTATCCTTAAGGGGACTTGGAATCCAGGTAAGCCATGTGCAAGCAAGCACTTTGTCTTTTGTATCATTTCTACACTCCTGTATTCATATTTTTATTAATTTGCATGTGCACTGAAGATTAATATTCACAATAAGTATTTAATGAAAATGGCCCCCGGCAATTCCCTTTAGTAGGGTGGATTGGAGACAGTTGAAATGATCTTTACTGTGCACAGAAGGACATTTACTGCTTCTTTGAAACTATGGAAGGGGTCCCTTGAATCAAATGTTTTCTAGATGATGGGATCATGGGACAGCCCCTAAGCTCCCCCATCCGAGCAGGCAATTCCATTCAGCTGTGATGACGAACAATAAAGGGTGGTCATATTCCTGCATCCCACCCTTCTCACTTCAGTCGTATTAGGAGAAAACAAAACTTAAATTTGGAAGCAGCTAAATCCCAATCATCAAGTCACCAGAATGATAAAAATGATTTAGATTGTCCAAAGGTCCACATAAGGCTACAAAGTGACCAGTATGTTTTGATGTTCTTTCCTAAATGTATGCATACAAACTTAGAATTGGGTGATACCCTAGAAATTATTTGGGGGAAGGAGCATACCTGTCAGTGATTAGGTGTTACTCCTGGTGCTGCTTGTGCCACCATTTCACATACCAGGGATGAACTCCAGGCGACCAAGATCAGTGCAAGTGTCATGTTTCTGGACTATCCTCCTGCTTCATACTCTGGGATTTTTTTTTTTTGGACTTTTGGGGACACACCCGGCGATGCTTAGGGGTTACTCCTGGCGGTGCTTGGGGGACCATACAGGATGCCAGGGATCGGACCCAGGTCTGCCGCATGCAAGGCTAACGCCCTACCAGCTCTCCTATCGCTCCATCCCCCATACTCTGGGATTTAAATCCAGTTTCTGAAACTGCCACTTGGGATTTTCCTTGTAGGTGAGAGTTGATTGATTGAATGTTGTCAAGGGATAGCACGTTAACCGAACAGTGCTCTCTGATGTTCTTACCAGCCTTTGCTCCTGTTCCAGTGTCTGTCCAGCTCTCTGGGCTGCTGCTAGGCCAGTTCCTCTCTGCATCTCCAGGGCTGGCTTCGGAGTCACTGCTTTCATCCATTTTGATTGATTACTATCACAAGAAACTCATTGTTCCCTGCCCTACCCGCTACCTACCTGCCTTTTTTTCCTAGTGAAACACCACGAGGTACAGTTGTAGACTTACAAACTTTCGTGCTTGGGTTTCAGTTATACAATGATCAAGTACCCATCCCTTCACCAGTGCTCATTCTCCACTACCAATGAACCCAGTAGCCCTCCTACCCCCTTACCCCATCCCCTCCCTCTCCACCCCTTGTCTGTGGCAGGGCATTCCCTTTTGCTCTCTCTTCCTTTAGGGTGTTGTGGTTTGCAATAGAAGTATTGAGTGGCCACCATGTTCGGTCTATAGTCTGCTTTTAGCATGCATCTCGCATCCCGAGCAAATCCTCCAAACACCCTCTACTTGGTGTTCCCTTCTCTATCTAAGCTGCCTTTTCCCCCAGCATCTGCTGCCGGCTTCCAAGCCGTGGAGCAGACCTCCTGGTACTTATCTCAGCTATTCTTGGGTGTTCGTCTCCCATTCTGTTATTTTATATTCCCCAGATGAATGCAGTCTTTCTATGTCTGTCCCTCTCTTTCGGACTCATTTCGCTTAGCATGATACTTTCCATGTAGAACCACTTGTATGCAAATTCCATTACTTCATCTTTTCTAACAGCTACATAATATTCCATTGTGCAGATATACAAAAGTTTCTTTAATCAGTCATCTGTTCTCGGGCACTCAGGTTTTTTCCAGATTTTGGCTATTGTGAACAGTGCAACAATGAATATACAAGTGCAGATGTCATTTCGACTATACTTTTTTGCCTCTCCAGGATATATTCCCAGGAGTGGTATTGCTGGGTCAAATGGGATCTCAATTTCTAATTTTTTGAGAATCGTCCATACTGTTTCCCAAAAGGGCTTAGCCAGTCGGCATTCTCACCAGCAGTGAAGGAGAGTTCCTTTATCCCCACATCTGTGCCAACACCGGTTGCTTTTGTTCTTTTGGATGTGGGCTAGTCTCTGTGGTGTGAGATGATATCTCATTATTGTTTTTATCTGCATCTCCCTGATAATTAGTGATGAACATTTTCTCATATGCCTTTTAGCCATTTGGATTTCTTCTTTGACAGAGTTTCTGTTCATTTCATCACCCCATTTTTTGATGGGGTTGGATGTTTTCTTCTTGTGGAGTTCAACCAGTGCTTTGTATATCCTTGATATCAACCCCTTATCGGATGGGTATTGGGTGAATATCCTTTCCCATTCTGTAGATGTCTTTGTATTTTGGTCACTGTATCTTTTGCAGTGTGGAAGCTTCTTAGTTTAATATTGTCCCATTTGTTAATCTGTTTCCACTTGGTTGGTCAGTGACATGTCATTTTTGAAGATACCATTAGCCTCAATATCGTGGAGGGTTTTGCTGACCTTGTCTTCAATGTACCTTATGGATTCTGGTCTGATGTTGAGGTCTTTAATTTTTTTTTCTTTTTGGGTCACACCTGGCAATACACAGGGGTTACTCCTGGCTCATGCACTCAGGAATTACCCCTGGCGGTGCCCAGGGGACCATATGGGATGCTGGGAGTCGAACCCGAGTCGGCTGCGTGCAAGGCAAACGCCCTACCCACTGTGCTATCACTCCAGCCCTCTTTAATCCACTTTGATCTGACTTTTGTGCATGGTGTTAAGTCGAGGTCTAAGCCCATTTTTTTTTTTTGGCATGTGGTTGTCCAGTTATGCCAGCACCCTTTGTTAAAGAGGCTTTCCTTGTTCCACTTCATATTTCTTGCTCCCTTATCAAAGATTAGATGTTCATACATTTGGGGTTGTGTGTAGGGATATCCCACCCTGTTCCATTGGTCTGCAGCTCTGCCTTTGTTCCAGTACCGTGCTGTTTTAACTGTTCCTGCTTTCCTCCCTGTCTGTTTTACCTTGAATCAGCCAGCAGGTGTTTTTCCTTTGGACGCCTGTGTGAAAGCATTGGTTTAAGTGAGCAGTTTCACATCAGGACTTCTTCTTCGCACGGCCCCCACTGTGTGACCAACCACTCCAGCAGCAGCCTCGATACTCCTTTATCTGAACCGATTCTAGTTGCATCACAGATTCACCTGGTTGGTCAAAAACATTCTCTCTTGGGGCTGGAGTAATAGCACAACGGGTAGGGCACTTGCACGCGGCCGACCTAGGTTCGGTTCCCAGCATCCCATATGGTCCCCTGAGCACCGCCAGGGGTAATTCCTGAGCGCAGAGCCAAGAGTCACCCCTGTGCATTGCCGGGTGTGACCCAAAAAGCAAAAAAAAAAAAAAATTCTCTCAGCACCTAAAGCCTGGCCCTTGGAGGGGCCTTGGAAAAAAGGAAGTGACGACACACACAGACCTGTGATTACCTGGCTGACAGGAGGAACCCTGAGGCCAGGGAGGAAACACTTTGGCAGGTGAGTGGCTGAGGTCCTTCCCTGTCTCCAGCCCTGGACAGTGTGTGTGTCCCTCATGCGCTGCTGACCCCAAGTCCCTGGGGCTCCCTTATCCAGATTTTTGCACCCCACTCAAGCTGCCCTTAGTTCCCCTGTGCTTTGCTTTCTTCATTTTGATTCATTCTTCATCTGTTACTCATCCATGAGATTCGGGACCCTTCTTTCTCAGTCTTTCCCTTACTAGTGTCAGGGCACCCTTTTCAGGAGCAGCTGAACCCCACCCACCCTCTCTGTCACCAGGTTTGTCTCTGCCCTCACATCATGAGCATGGTCTTTGAGTATACTAATCACGGTCCTCCCATTGTTCATTGATTTGCTCGAGCGGGCCCAGTAACGTCTCCATCATGAGACTTGTTGTTACTGTGTTTGGCATATCGAGTACGTCACAGGTAGCTTGCCAGGCTCTGCCGTGCAGGCGAGATACTCTCGGTAGCTTGCCAGGCAGCCTGGTGTTGTTTTGGGGCTATTTCTGGTCATCCTCAGGGATTTCTTTGGGCACTTCTCATGGATCAGCCCCTGTCACCCTTATGCAAGGAAGATGCGCTAACTGCTGTTGTCTCTCTGACCCACTAAAGAATATTCTTTCACCTTTATGTTAAGTGAGTGAGTACCCCATCAAAAAATGGGTCAGTGAAATGAATAGAAACTTTC